AAAAGGTTATTAAATGATGGAAAGAGATTCTATTAATTAGTGATTAAGTAAAATTAAATATTTTTACTAGTGGAATGAATTATTTGTCCATAATTATATTCAACTTTGCCAAATTGCATATTTGTGTAATATGATTAAATTCAATTGAACATTTGGTCTTGGTTTATTTAATTGATCGAGATTGAGATCAATGATGATATCTCTAAATATGAAAATGTATGGATTTTCTCAAGATATTGATATTCCTAGTCACGGCATGCGTTGACTAAAATGGAATAAACTTATACAATGAATGTATAAACGTTTGGAACATAAGTTGCTATTTTGTCACCTTGATCGTGATGAATACAATTTAGGCAACAAATTGATAGAAATGAGAATTTACTCCTAACCATTGGAAATGTATAAATGTTGGAAGAATGCCAACTAGCACTACAACAAAAATGGTCATTTGCAACATTAAAAAGGCAACATTTGTCAACAAATATTGTCAAAAGGGTCTTTTGGCAACATTTTTGTAGGTCAATGTTGCCATTGGTATTAATAAATGAGTTTTGACAACGTTTTTTAGAAAAATGTTGCGATGGACACCTTTAGCAACGTTTATTGAGTGTTGCGAAATGTTTTACCTTTGGCAACGTTTGATAAACGTTGCGAAAGGTAAGACTTTTCGCAACGTTCACCAAATGTTGCCAAAAGTCATCTTTAGCAACGTTTTTCAAACGTTGCTAAAAGTCTCACCTTTAGCAACGTTTGATAAACATTGCTAAAGATGACTTTTGGCAACGTTTAGTGAACGTAACGAAAAGTCTTACCTTTAACAACGTTTATCAAACGCTGCAAATAATATTTGGCCTATTTAAATGAATCCATCACAATCCAACCCAGCCAACAAAAGAAAAATTGAAAAAAAAAAACAAAAACAAAAGGAACAAATTCAAGCCCTAATCGCTCTCCCTCCCCTCAAATCCAGTTGGTGAGAGTGGAGGTGAGAAATGAGTACGAAATCAAGCCCTAATCGCTCGCTGTGAAGGGAAAATTAACTGAGGTGAGGAGACTATATGAAGGAGGTGAGGAGACCGAGAATGTATAAATCTTCAGTCTCCGCGGCTCCGCCGTTCCAACTTCCAAGCTCCGCCCCATCCTCACTCCTCTCTGAGCTCTCTTAATCTCCCGGCTTCTGCAAAATTCGAGGATAGAACCACGCACCCGCTTCTATTACACCAACAATCAACTGTAGTTCAGCCTTCTGGAATTGTTCTAGGGTTTTTTTCTCAATCATAATTTCCCATCTAAATTTGGGGATTGTTTTGGGTTCAATCAATTTGATTGGATATTAGTCATGGACGTTTATTTCCGGTTGAATATGAAGAGGAAGGAACTTGAGGACATCAATAATGAATTCTCAGATTTCTCCCTTTCGTCTCCCACTAGAAAAACTCGTCGACTGCTAATAAATTTGTATCTTAATTTCTGAATTGGTGCTAAATTATTGACTACTTATTTTTCGATGTTAATGTTTTGCTTGGGTAATCAAATCATTAACTGAGGGTAATTTTATATATTTACCGGTGTGTATATATGTAGGATGTTGATTTATTGCCCGTAATAGAGGAGGAATCTGAAACGAGCTTCTTGTTGCATCCCACAAGTATGTTTCTCTATTACTCCATTTTACTTGGTTATTGTATCTAATTTTAGGGCTAGAATATTCAAATATTATTCTTGTTTGTTAATGGCTGTGCAAGTGGTTGCATTCTTTTATGCATATACATTTATATTCAAACTCTGCATCATAATTCCAAATTATAAATATATTGAAAAGACCAACTGTATATGGCTTGAACATTTGCCATTCACTACTGTAGAGTTTTGAAGTTGGACAGGGGGATGCCGTGCCTTTGAAAGCTGGTCTTGTTTCTGTTTGTAGAAATGCTCATAAGATAATTTATTTGTACTTGAAGATCATGATAATTGAATTCACTAAATGGGTAATTAATCGATTTGATGAAGCGTAACGAATTTAAATGAATTACGAGCTTTGGGTTCAGATAATTTCATGATGAGCAACCATAAATTATGGAGAGCGTGTTTTATTTTTAATTGCTATTGAGGTATTTAGCATAAAGTATAGTATGAAGTACTTTTGGGCACATAGTCATTACATAGTATACAAAACTATAACTATTGCTAAAGAATGCAACATCTCACTTTGGCTTTTGTCACCAGAAAATTCATATGATCATATTTAGTGAGTCCACCTCTCTAATTGCAAGTCCAGCCTTCAAATTTGTGTTCTGATCATTCACCTTTATATTCCTTCAAGAAGATTTGATCGAAATGTTCTGCTTATCCCACAAAATATAGTGGCATATTTGGTGAGCCCACCTCTCTAATTGCATCAGTTTGCTCTAGGTTTGGCACTAGTATTGCCTTGCATGGATCAGATTTTTCAATCAAAGGATCTGAAAAGGAAAGCTAGAGCAGAGAGGTTGTTGCCTTTGGCCCTTTGTGCATCTGACATTGACTTGTGATTTTCAGTAGATGTTTTGTGTTTGACATTTTATTGTTCTTCCTCAGGTTTGGGATTGCACAGTCTGCACCTGCGGATGAGGAAGCAAAGAAGAAGGCTAAAGGTACTAGGTTTGGATCTGTTGCCAAGGCTGATTTAGCAGAGGAAGAGAAAAAGAAAGCAAGAGAAATAAGGTTGTTGATTTTGATAGTTGTTAAGATAACACAGTAGACTGTGTACAACTAGTAGTGTGGGAATCTTTTATACTGCAATTAAGTGAATTTGCAAGGCAACTTTTTATTTAGTCTAGGTTGTGTTTGGAATTTGTAATGTTTAAGTCCGTGGATTCAAAAATTTGTAATGAAATTATCAATTTTTATGCAATTTCAAAATTTGTTCATAAGAAATCATTTTCAAATTTGCTAATCAATTTGCATAAATTGCTGTAAAAAAAAAAAAAAAAAAATATTTCCGTACGGCAACGTTTGACAAACATTGCGAAAGACTATCTACGGCAACATTTGTCAAACGTTAACCGTATCTCTCTACGGCAACATTTTTTAAACGTTGCCGAAGACTTTCGGCAACGTTCAAAAAGTGTTGCCGTATCTCTCTACTCTACGATAATACCTCGATTTCGAACACATGTCCAAACGATGTTTTTTGAACGTTGCCGTAGATAGTTTTTGTTGTAGTGATCCTTTAGTAGAATGACCACCTCATTTTATCGAACCACTTTCTGAGGCATCATGTTTCTGTTAGATATATATCATATATTTCATTTAAAAGGAATAATTAAATTGGGATAGTTGGCCAAGTGCATAAAGATGTTGAATTTATGCTAGTCATCGGCGGTTTAAATCCCACTAGGTATGCGAATATTAAATAGTCTACGATTGGGCATTGGGATAAGTGTGCCCACAAATGAGAGGGCAGAAGCCCATCCACGAGGCTATGTTGGCCTTGATTTTATCGGCAATAAGTTGCATCCACCACCTTCATGGAATCCCTTTAAACAAAAGGACACCCAAATACCAAAATGGTAAGCTTCCCCATTTCATTCTAACTGCAGAAAGATGGGCCCATACCCCTTCAAAGCAATAGATTCAGAAGAATTATTTTCAGTAATCACCAACCGACCTGAAAACAAATCTTAAAAACCCAAAACCTCACACATAGTCTTCACGTATTGAAGTTTTCCTTTGCAAAATAAATACATCATCAGCGTATAGAAATTAGCAGTGCCATGACTCCTCGTAAAGAGAACATGGTTTGCAGATAATGAATATCAGCATATAGTAAATGGACCTATATTCAATCTAATGAAGAATTCATATTGCCTAAAGAGAACATGGTTTGCAGATAATGAATATCAGCATATAGTAAATGAACCTATATTCAATCTAATGAAGAATTCATCTTGCCTAAAGAGAACATGGTTTGCAGATAATACCATATTCAATCTAATGAAGAATTCATCTTGCCTAAAGATGCATCTCCACATCAGAATTATTGACCGACAGAATGGAACTATGGAAGGGAGGGTTTTTTTTTATTGTCAACAGTAACTTGGAAAGCACTACTTAGAAAAATTCTTCCAATGCATTTCATACCATATTCCTATAGTTTTGGTAACTCAATATAAGGCTCGTTCTTTACCTTTATATGATCGTGCCCATACAAGAAGAACCGACCGTCAGCTATAAGAATTTTATAATAGAGCCTTGTAGGGCCAAAAGTATATGCATGATGGAAAGGCCACAGAACTTTAAGACAACAATTTTCGCAACTCTCTTACACCAACATTTCTAACTCTCTTTTATGTTTTAAGTTATTTAAATTTTTTTAGGTAAATTAATAATCTATCTACTTGCAAATCACTTTCCTCTCCAAAGTATTATGTGACACGAAGCGTTCCATTGCGAATATTTAATAGTTCATGATTAGACCTTTGGATAAGTGTGCCCGCGAATGCAAGGTTGGAGCCCATCTACAAGGATATGTTGGCCTTGATTTTATCAGTGATATGAGGCATCCAAAGCCTTTATGGATTCAGTTTACACGAAAGGACACCCAATACCAAAATGATAAGCTTTGTTTCCTTCTAATTGAAGAAAGTAGGGCATGTGCACATCGAAGGCAAGGGATTTGCCAAGAATAATTTCCAGTTTCCCTATTCACCAATTGACCTGATAACAAACTATATAGACCAAAAGCCTCGGACAAAGTCTACATGGCAAGGAGTTTGTTTGCAAAATAAATAGATCGTCGGCATACAATAAATGAGAAGGTGCTGTGACTCCTTCTGGATAGGACATGGATTGAAGAAGCCCCCTTCAAACCAGGTTAGAAATATATCTTCTAAGAAAGTCCTTTGCAATGAAAAACAAAGGCACTGTTCTCGATAGTGCTTCTAGCTTCATTTCCTTATGAGATTGATTGACAAGAGCTTCTTGCTACATAGAAATGCCCTACGAGCATTACGTACAAATAAAACTTAATCCTCCTTCTCATTTAGGATAGGATTGGCATTGGTGCTTCGTTCACTAATGATCTCACAATATTAGAAAAAAGGGTCGCCTTGAAGTAACCCTTAGCAGAAAGATTTATTAAAATAATCGAAAGATTTGCTAAACGCTTCACATCAGATATAGATTTTTAGATTTCTCGAAAGGTTGATCGGTTTGGCCTCTGCACATTGGATTCTTCAAGCAGTTGTCATGCCTCTACTCAACATTTCCTGTGTAAGACTCTAAAATTTGATTCTTTATTCAAATTCCTATGTAGACCCCATTGGGTTTTTATTAATTTTTTGCTGTGTGTTCTGAGATGTATTGAAAAATTGGTTCTATTATGAGCTTCTTGAGAAGTTGTAAAATCAGTTCTTTGCTATTTCTGTTCATTTTCTTCAAATCTCTGTGTTAGTTGATCTTTTCTTGTCTTGTATATATGTTGTTCTGAGATTTACTGAAAAACTGGTTCTAGTAATGAGTATCTTGAGAAGTTCTGAAATGGGTTTAGTTTAATCAGTTCTCTGAAAATCCCTCTCTCCATTTTCTTCAAAGCAGGAAGCATAGTTCTGCTTTTTCTATACTGGAAAATCCCAGCAGTGTATTGAATTTCGATTCTTTTGGTTTGCACTAGTAACTTCAGCAATGGAGGACAAATCAGTCATTCAATGCTGTAAATTGGGAAGATGAAGCTTGATTTAAAAGTGATCAATTAGTTCTTGTGAACTCAACAAGATTTTAGCATTAAAGAAATTAATATTGAGGAATTTGATAATTGGCCTTCTAGTGGCATTCCATTTAACTGCCATTTTTTTTTTTTTTTTTGCGTTTCATTATCTTGCTATTCATTTCACGATTTGTCTTTTGATGTTTTCATCTTATAACAAAGAATGAACTTTCTTACCATCTCAATGAAGTTTATGAATTAATTTGTTTTACTTGCATGATTTAAAAAATCTCACGAACTTGTTTTTAGTAACATATTTACAAGCACTAGAATTAATGGTTCTTACCTCTATAGGGGTGAAGTAGTTGATCAGCCCGTGCATTCTGCCCATACACTAGACAAACAGATCTTTTTGATGCTATATGACTTTAGTATAGTGGCTGCAAAGGTGTCATATATATACAAATTTGTTCTTAGATTTCTTCGTTATTCTTTGACTTTTTCGAAGATTTCATAAGGCATCTTTATACAAATATGAGGGCAGTACGTTCTATGCTATGAAATCGAAAAAGTTTACAAATATAAAAAACCAGCAAATGTAGCAAAAATAAGTTTATTAGTTCTAACATTAATATAAAGCTAATACACTAGCATAATTTTTTGATACTTGCAGCAATTATAATTTGGAATAGGTTATGCCGAAAGTCAACAAGTAATATACACAATGTTTACTAATTCAGAAATCATTTGAAACATTAATGTTTACACCTTCAATACTATGTTCACTATGGTGTTTGAAGTCCTTGAACTTTTTCTCTTATCTAATTATTTTTCTGTTATATTAGGTAAAAAACTATGGGGTTATCCAATTTTTAATAGCATTGCTCAGGTACTCACTTGAGATCATTGCACGGAATATTTTTAGATCAGGATTATATGGCAGATTTACACAACCAGATGATGAATCAATTCCATGACATTAATGATCCAGATAAGGTAAATGTGTATCCATGCGTTGAGCTTTCTTTCTTTCTTCTAGTGGTCTAATAATGAAAATAATTCACGGATTCCTATTCACTTTATATGTAATTGTCAAGATGAAAGTTATTTCCGGGTCGTTTCTGAAGCCAAGAGAGCACAAGCACAGTAGGTTGTTTTGGATAAGTAGGATACGTTTATATATAGACTCTAATTTATGTGTAGATTCCGTATTTTTTCCTAGGCTGGAGAAAGGTATTCCATTTGCGGAAGATAGTGTCTTCAATAGTTGGAACTTTGTCAAAATAGCACTACTAACTATAAATTAGAAAATAATCAAATAATTACATTATTATGACGAAAAGGTATATATATATATTAGCAGGAAGAAAGGTATTACATTTGCAGAAGATAGTGTCTTAATAGTTGGACGGATTCCATTGGGCAATATTCATAGATCGATGCACACGTGATGACGCTATAAACTCTTTGTGTTGCAAAATAAATTTAATTACAAACATCACTTGTTACATAATAAATTGTACTACAAATGTTGAATATTTAAATATGTTATACGACATATCGAATGCATTGTAAATCATATTTCACGACAAACATAACTTGTTATTAAAAATATATAAATATGATAGTGCTGTTGCAAAATAGAATAGGTAACAAAAGTTGTATATTTAAAATAACATTTGCAACAAATATTTTTTCATAAAAATTTAAGAGAATAATCGTTACGACAAACTGACTCGTCGTCCTTTTAATTTTTTACGACGAATATAGGTGGCGATAAATATCTTCTTGCTATTTCGTACTTGTCACGTCTTTTAGGTTTATAATTTGTATTGATGATTCTGTGAACAAATTGACCAACTTGAACAATTATATAAGTTAAAGGACTAAATTGTAAAGTTTCATAGTTGGTAGGTTAGTTTAGGGTTTAGGGTTTCATGTTTGGAACAAGAAGGATTCACTCCGATTTTTCACTAGCTGCTCGTCTGAGTGATGCTCGAGCATCTGAAACAGAGATTGCCTCGCTTGACTTTCGAGCGAAGTAGCCTTTTCGCTCAAGCAAAGTATTATTCGGCCAGACTTAATTTTCTGTGATTTCTACTTGGCCCATACAACCTATTTTGTCCAACCTATATATTGAGGCACTGTGCTTTTTATGCAGGAGAGATTGAACATCATATTATTTAGTGAGAATACACGCTTTACAAGAATCAAAGTTCAATCCTTCCATTGTTCATGTGCCAATCATTGTGAAAACATGAAAGATCCATATCAAAAACTAGATTGCATTCTTCGCTTAGGTCTGCTGGAAGATTATGTCGTCAACTGTGCTGCATTAAAGATCAAGGGAGAATCTGAAGAAAGAAGAGTTCTTTGGAAAGATCTACAGGAGATAAACTGCGTAAAGAGTCAGGATTCGAGTTTGTGTGCTCATTCTAAGAGGACTGCTTTACAAAGAAAAACCAGGTTTGGTGTTCATATGCACATTCTAGGAGGGCTGTTTCTTATTTCAGGAGATCAGAAAGCTTATGTTGTCAACTTGTGACATGTTGCTAGTTAATTAGATTGATAATTCCGCATTTATATCTAATCACCCCCTCTAGGTGTAGTTGGGTCCAATTTTGCGTTTCTCAATTGGTATCATAGCTTAATTTCGATTCCTAGCCCTTATTTGATTGTCTAGATGAGTAGTTCACTGTCTGTACCATATTTTGATGGCAGTAATTATGCCTACTGGAAGGTTAGAATGAGAGCCTTTTTAGAATCTATGGATGAACGTATATGGCTGAGTGTAGTAAATGGTTGGAGTACCCCTAGTACTACTGTAGAAAACGTAGTCGCCCCCACTCACATTGCTAATTGGACTAGGACTAACTTAGATGAGTGTAATTGGAATAGTAAAGGTTTATATGCTTTGTTTATAGTTGTCTCCTGACGAATTTAGGAGTGTCTATGTATGAAATTGTTAGGGAGATTTGGGATATTTTGGAGACTATCCATGAGGGCTCCAAGATTGTGAAAAACTCAAAATTACAAATGTTGACTTCTAGGTTTAAAGAACTTAGGATGAATGATGATGAGATGGTTGATGAGTTCTATGCTAAACTGAACGATATTGTAAACTCTAGTTTCAATTTAGGCCAATGGATCATCGAGTCAACAATTGCTCGTAAGGTTCTTAGATCCCTACCTGAGAGGTTCTTAGAAATCCTGATCCTAGAGCTAAGTGTATCATAGGACAGAGGACACCTAGGTCTCGTAAGAGCACTGTACCTCAAATTTGTTTTCAACAATCGTATACGTCTGAGCTTAGATTTGTACCAACTTGCCATCGATGTGGTGCTTTGGGTCACATTAGGTCGAGGTGTCGTATGTATGTACACAAATAGAGAAATCAGGATATTCCTGGTCAGGTGAATTTTCTTTCCAGTCAAGTTCTTCAGCTAACTGAGATGGTTTCTCAATTGACTAGGGCTACCTCCACTCCTTCGAAGGCATGGGTCAAGAAAGTTGATCTTGACCGTATGACAATCATTGGTGCTTATGCACCACACTGATCCCATATGCGAGCATCTGCATTCATTGCCAATTAAACTAGTGCATTTTGCATCCATCTTACACTTTGCATGTGTTTAATTGCTTTGTGTGGTTTGTTTTGTTTTTTTTATTGTTGTCTGCTCTTTATTTGTCCTGTGTGCTTGGTGCATTTATATTTTTTTTTACGAAAAAAATAAAAAAATCATTTTCTTTTATTTATTTGGTTTAAGTTTTTGCATTGAGAAAAAGAAAAACAAAAACAAAAAGTAAGAACAAAAAGAGTTTGATTTGGAAATTGGTTTTACAGCTTGATGTACAATACACTTGATTTTGTTGGTGTTAATCAAGAATGAGTTTATTTGGTAGGCTGTAATATAATTTCCATTGTTAGCTTAAGATGCTTGTGGAGTATTTAATATAGGTCTCTTCATATACTATATGCACTGCACACACTATGATCGTGACAGTGGGACTCTACCGTGTGTATGAGATTTTGGATAGTAGCCACTTGTTACTAGAGTGACTTTGAACATGAATTGACCATTTCTATTAGACCTAACTTGATTTTACCCTTGCATGATTAATGTATGGTTGAAAAAAAGATAATTCAAATGGCTCAGTATCTTAATGCTACTTTTAGAAGCCTACTTGACTCGAGTGATTAAGCCTGTAGGGTTTCTCATAACCTAGTTCCTATGGTCAGCTGATTTGGGTTAACCAGCCTAAAGCTCGTTACAGGGGTCATGTTAGTCACTTAATGGAAAGTAGCCTACACTTAAGATTGAAATTATATTTGAGCGGTCCTGTTGTAAATTGTGAGGAATGAATAATTGTTTGTGCTGTAAGTTAGGGAGAGAAGACTTATTCTTCGTTGGACATGAGCTTTCATATGCAGGTCCTAATGTGCTTTTAGGTTTAACTTTCATAAGTAGAGGAATAAACTTTTTAACAGTGATATTTAACATGTCATTTCTCACAAAATTAAGGTATGAAGTCCTATTGCCAGAGGATTAGTGACACTTTACACGTATGAGTCACTTATATCACTCCATGGGTAACTTATGTTGGCGTTGTAAGACAGTTTTTCCTATTCACTGTATATACTTGTGATTGCTTGTACCTGGATTGTTGAGTTGTTGTATGTTTTTGCTCCACCCTTAGACATTTGTGACAAAAAATTAGAGAGATTTTTATAGTAAGGGGGACCTATATCATTTTGATTTTTTATAGTAAGGTGAAGCTATATCATTTTGATTTTGCATTCTCTATTTTGAGCAATTACATTTGTCTTCTTAGGGATCGTTGGAGTGAGACATAGATACTGTATAGACATGTTTGTGCTTTAAATTTGATTTGATCTGTTGCAGATGTCTTTCTTTTTTATAGGTTGTTGGGGAGAGACATAGATACGTTTTTGACATTTGACTTGATATACATGTGCATTGATTATTATTGTTATGTCATTTTTCTTGAGGGGTCGTAGCGGTGAGACATAGATACATTTCCTACTACTTTAACACTTAGAATTTGTAGTAGTGGCATTACATTTGCATTACATATCATGCCCTGAGGGGGAGATGTGCATTGCAATTGTGTTGCATTTCATGGATGGCTGTTTGAGTTTTTCCTTGATGTTTTGTAGTATTTATGTGGCTATGGTGTCTTGGTTAACATTAATACTGCATCTCAAANTAATACTACATCTCAAACTAGCTTGCTTATTTTACTAACTAGTACTTTATTGTTATATCCTGTATCACGTGCTTTTACACTGGTATGTGAGTTTTCGATTTCAGGATATATGATTAACAAAGTGGAAGCTGGATTCAGTTGGTTTAGTTGGACTCGGGTAGTTTAGATAGGTTGTTATTTATTTTGTATTTTTTTAGTCACATAATTCCAAAGGGCAAGTTTGTTAGGTTTATATTTTGTATTGGCGATTCTGTGAACAAATTGACCAACTTGAACAATTATATAAGTTTAGGGACTAAATTGTAAAGTTTCATAGTTGGTAGGTTAGCTTAGGGTTTGGGGTTTCATGTTTAGAAGAAGAAGGATTCACGCCGATTTTTCTCCAGCTGCTCGCCGGAGTGATGCTTGAGCGACTGAAACAAAGACTGTCTCGCTCGTCCTTCGTCCCATTGTCGCTCGATCGACACACCCTTCGCTCGAGTGAAGCAACCTTCTCGTTGCTCAAGCGACGTATTATTCGGCCAGACCTAATTTTCTATTTCTGTGATTACAACCTATTTCGTCCAACCTATATATTGAGCCGCTGCACTTTTTATGAAGGAGAGATTGAACATCATCTTATTCAGTGAGAATACATGCTTTACAAGAATCAAAGTTCAATCATTCCATTGTTCATGTGCCAATCATTGTGAAAACACCAAAGAGCCAAATCAAACACTGGATTGCATTCTTCGCTTGGGTCTGCTGCAAGATTATGCCGTCAACTGTAGAATTCTGAAGAATAAGGAGTTCTTTGGGAAGATCTACATGAGATAAACTACGTAAAGAGTCAGGATTCGAGTTCATGTGCTCATTTCAGGAGGACTGCTTTACAAAGAAGAGCCGATTTTGGTTTTTGGTATTCGTGTGCACATTCCATGAGGCCTGCTTATTACTTCAGGAGATCAGTCAACTTTGCTGGTGGTTTGTAAGTGTATTATCAATTTATAGTGGATCTTTGACTAGCAAAGCGCCCGGAGTTTTTCCCACGTTGAGTTTCTCCGTGAACAATTCTGGTGTTGTTTACTGCTTTATTTATTGTTGTCATATAACTATGGTATTCAAAGATAGGCTAAAGTGGATTGTTTGACGAATCACCTAGACATAAGTAACTTGTGACATGTTGATCGTTAATTAGATTGATAATTTCGCATTAACTGTATATCATTTATAAAATTCGTATTTACCCTATTACAATAAAATATTTCTATGGATTATACTACTTTTTAACTACACATCTTTATGTGGATTTTACTATATATCATTTATAAAATTCATATTTGCCCTATTACAATAAAATATTTCACAAATTACCAAAAAGTTTTCTTGTGTTGTGCAGTAGTCTTGCATTTAGCAATCGCTTTACCCTTCCCCATTCCTTCATCCAAACAATCAACCATCAAAACACATTGTGAATCCTCTTGTTTGGAGTTACTGTAAAAACTATGGATCTCTTTCATCTCTAATGAGCTTCTTTTTTACTCCATTGCAGTATATTTGATTTGGTTATATTGGCATTTTTTTGAGTTATAGTGTTCTCTCTTTCGTATGTATTGTGGAAAACAAGTACACTTTTTTTAAACCTTTCCATATGGGGAATTCACATATTTCTGGCCAATGAAAGATTTCAGGCTATTTATCGAACTCTTAAAGAGGTTTCTCGTGCTAGTTCTCTTGGAAGTAGGGCAATGAAGCAAGTCTCACAGAAAATACAGACTTTAGCTGTTAAAGCAGCTGGACAAGGTTAGTTCAACATCAGAGTGACATTTTATCATCAATCCTCTGTTTGGATATAATCTGTTTGCTCCTCTGCTAAGACTATAGTCATATATAATCTGTGATGCTGTAATTTTTTATTTGAACAAGAAAAGATTTATATGGATAACATAGATGCTAGCGTTGCTGCCTTGAGGAAGCTTGCTGAGGAATGGAAGGAGCTTTCAAGAAAACAGTCTTCTATTGAAGCACTTAGGGGATGTCTAAAAAGTTTCAGGGGAAAGGTTAGTGGCTTTTATATTTTTCTAATAGTTTTTGTCGTTACTAGCTAGCGGTGGGCGTTTAAAGATGTGTTATAGTATGATGTCTTTGAACTTCATTTGCAAATCTTGCATTTTAAATGTACTTGTATAAGCTTGGAATTCATTGAATGTGCTCATTTTAACGGGAGTTTAATTTTGTTTTTGAACCGTAATTTCTACTCTCCAATTTCTCTAAAAGATTGGCAGACTGGGTTTTTAATCATAACTAGTGCTAAATGATAGATTATAATTGGTATTCAGTATATTAACTTAATGGTGAACTTGTAATTGTGCTTTTGCTTTGCATTCTACCTCTAATTGGAATTCCACTCCATTGTATGTCGTTATTCAACATAAAAATCTATTGAAGCTATTGTTTGATATGCCTAATAAATTATAAATTTTCACATTCTCAACTGCAGGTACAACTTATTTTGTTTGGTGAGGAGACTCAGAAAGAGAAGAAGGCTGCTAAAGAACATGCAGCAGCTGTGAAAGCATCTGGAAATAATAAATAGAGTAGTTTATGTGTTTCATTTATGATCGAGTTTTTCCCTTATCATTTTATTTCATTTTGAAACTTCTTTTTATTTAAGTGGTGTTATATCCCATTCTAATGTTCAAGTGTATAGATTGAAAAAATTGTAATAAAATTATCAATTTTTATGCAATTCCAAGCTTTGTTCATAAGTTGCATTTTCAATTTTGCCAATCTATTTGCATAAATTGTTGTTGTTAATAATAATAATAATAACAATAAAAAAAACACTACGGCAACGTTGCCGTATCTATCTACGGCTACGTTTGGCAAACGTTGCATATAACTGTTTTTGTTGTAATGCTTTCTAAGGCGTCGTGTTTATATTAGATATATATCATATATTTTCAAATCCCACAAGCCATATAAATATTTAATAGGCCACGATCGGGCGTTTGGGTAAGTGTGCATGCAAATGAGGGGGTGAAGCCCATCCATGAGGCTATGTTGGCCTTGGTTTTATCAGCAATCGGTTGCATCCACCACCTTCATCCCCTTAAACACAGAAGGACACCCAAATACGAAAATGGAAAGCTGTACCATTTATTCTAACTGAAGAAAGAAGGGCAAGTGCATGTCGCAAAACAATGGATTTTCCAAGAATAATTTTCTGTTATCCCTCTTTAAATTTATCTGATGACAAACCCATTAAAACCCAAGGCCTCAGACATAGTCGTCATCTCGCGAAGTGTTCTTTGCAAAATAAATAAATCATCAGTGTATAGTAAATAAGCAGGTACCATGACACCTCTCGAAGAGGACATGGGTTGTAGAACCTCCTTTGAAGCCAGGCAAGAAATGAATCTTCTAAGTCCTTTGTAATGAAAAATAATAATAGACATAACGGGTCACCTTAACATTTCAAGTAACCCTTAGCAGGACCATTTATTAAAATTAACTGACAGATGTGCTAAACTGAAAACGGTAAAGTTCCAACTTCTAAGAGTGTCCCCAAAACAATTCCTTGTAGCATCCTTTACTAGAATGAACACCTCATTTTGGCGAACCCCTTTTTGAGACATCACGGTGCTCTTAGATAAGTAGAATATATTTTATTTGAAAGAAATAATTAAATTGGAATAGTTGATTATGTGATAAATGATGTGGAATTTATATGTGAAGTCGACGTTCAAATCTCAAAAGCCATGAAAACCCTAAGCCTCTAACATAATCTTCATGTCGTGAAGTTTTTCCCTTGCAAAATAAATAAATCATCAGCATATAGTAAATGAGAAGGTGCCATGACTCCTCGTGAAGAGGACATGGGTTGTAGAGCCCCCTTTGAAGCCAGGCTAGAAATGTATCTTTTATGGAAGTTCTTTGCATTGAAAAATAATAATAGAGATATACGGTCGCTTATTGAACATTTGCAGTAGCCCTTGACATAAAAAATTATTAAAATTAATTGAGAGATGTGCTAAACTTATAATTTTGAAGTTCCAAGATCTAAACGTGTCCCCAAAATCATTCCATATAGTATCCTCACTAGACTGACCATCTTATTTTGTTGAACACCTTTATGAGGCATCAATTTATTGTCAGCTATATAACGTGTATTTTATTTGAAAGAAACAATTAAATTGTATTAAATTATTTGAAAAAAAAAAAGAATTAAATTCTGGGGACTCTTTGATCTAATTTTTTTTTTCTTTTTGACTCATGGAGACAGTTATGGATGAATTAGTGAAATAGTAAAAATCACGATTTTCTACTAAACTCTTAACTTATTAGCCATGTTCTAAAAGGTGTGCAAATGAACCACATAGGCGCGCCTAGGCGCGATGCGAGTCGTAAATGCGTCGAATTAGGAAAATGCGGGAAAAATGCGTTTCCATCTAAAAGGCGTGCCTAGGTGTGCACAATGCGCGCCTAGGCGCGCATTATCCCGTCTAATCCTTTTTTTTAAATCTATTTTTTATGATATATTAAAAAATTTATTTTTTTACATAAAAATATATTTAATGCATTAAAAATACGAAACGCATTATGGCGCTTATTCTTCGCATTGACACGCCTAAACTTGTGATTCTTGGCCTCGACGCATCGCAATGCATTACGCATTTTAGAACACTGCTTATTAGTGGATGTTATAATTTGTTTCTATGTACATAAAGCTTCTTTACCTTGGAAAACTCAAAAATCATTTTTGTCTTCTGAAATCTACAAGAAAAGATTTTATAATTATTTTTTGGTACATTTGTTTTTGAGAAGAACTTGAGAGTTCTGAAATTCGTTTGCTATTGCACAAGTGATTCGACCATTGTATCATGGGAGTGAATGTCTACTAAAGTCGTAGCAGTTAACAGCGGACTATTCCACTTTAGGATTTCATGCTACCACAAGTCTAGATCTTTCTTACTTTCTACATTTTATTGTTTGGAAAAGGTACCTACAACTAATTTTTATCATAAAGTTTCACCAGAAGAATGTTTATCAAAAGTGCTTAAGGCAATCTGAAGCTAAAGAAATGCAATCCTCAATATTTCTACAACAGACAAATTCAAATATATTAGGTGCCACAATTCTCGCCGCTATAATTGCTAACCTGCTTTCCAATGTCAAAGTGACAAGTATGAACAGGAAACTGCTAAGCACAATTGGTCAAAACTGATATGGTGAATTTGCCTTTACAAGATAGTGCCTACTGCAGAACTATCTTGTGGAGAAGAATATGTTCATCTTAATGTATATGTGGGGTGTTGGTCCCAATTAAGTTTATTGGGACATTCAAAAACCAAAAGCGTTTGCAGAAAGTAAATCGCAAAAATCAAAAGATGTGACACATAAGATTTTTCACCCACGAAGGGCCACATGCCCTAAACGCTACTCACCCATTGAGCATCCAAAAAGTAGATATTGCTCCAAATGCACTAAAATCAGCCAAGAATAGTACAACACAAATGTTCGAAGAAATCGGAGATTTCATCCGGATTTCTTCGTGGTTTTCAATCTTCGCTTCACACAAATTCACCACAGCACACTCCACCCAATCTCTCAAAATATACACTGAGTATAATATAGAAATCCACTCAAGATAACAGAGATTGAGCCAAATGAAGAAGACGAAGAGACGGAGAGAAAACCCTAAGTAATGCACACACACATTCAACAAATATGTGAAAACATGTCAAAGAGGCTATTTATACGGCCCAATCATTTTACAGATTGATGCCCAAAATTGCACCAGGTGTAAGGCCGGATTTTATCAACCTCCACAAAGTTAAAGGGAAAAATTCACAACTCAAGTTTTATCTATCTCAAAATCAAAAATCAAGCCCAAAGGTTTAGAATTACAAAAATCAAGTTGTTCATAAATTAATATATTTCACAATTATTATATTAAATTAAATATTAAACTGTAATATAATATAATTAACCCATTCCACCTCCACCTCTGCTCTGACGACTACTCCGGTGACCGGCGACTTTTTCGAGGTCACTGATCAAAAAATTTGTATGTCACGGATTATTTCGAGATCACATATAAAATGTTTTGTAGGTCACGAATTATTTCCAGGTCACAGATCTAAAATTTTATAAGTCACATATTATTTCGAGATCATAGATCAAAAAAATTATAGGTCACTGACTATTTTTTTAGTTACAAATTATCAATTTTAAGCTAGGTCACTGACACCAAAAAAAATAACAATAGCTAGGTCACTGACACCAAAAAGAACCACCACGGCCGTTGACCCACCACGGCAATAACAAAATACCACCACCACCGTCGACCTCGCCACAACAATAAACTGATCCGGCAATAAACTGATCCACCACCATCGAAATCCCAAAAATTGAGGAATCTCTTTATCCACCAGCCCGTTTGGCCGAAACAGAATCTGACCTTGATGAAAAGCAAATCGAACCTCCTACAAAAGCAGGACTCACTTGAAGAACAAAAGATTGAAGATAAGCGTGTTGAGCTTCCTCTGACTGAAGAAATAAAGAAAACTGAGGAATACTCCTATAGTTGAACATTGTGCTAAAGAGAATCTGGAAGTGGCTAAGAATACTGTGCTTGAACCTGATACGCATGAGATCTCAGAATCAATGCCTAAGAACGTTACATGCCTGTCAGAGGAGAAGTCTGAATCTGGGAATACTATGGCTAAGAATATGTGACGCTGCTAATCGCAGGAGGGGGAGGGAAGGAGCGACGGGCAGTGGTGGTGGGAGGAGGAGGCAGGGAGGGAGGGAGAAGGAAAGGATGCGACGTTGACAGGAAGGGAAGGGGAGGGAGAAGGGGAGGAGGCGGCGGTCGATGGCGGTGATGGGAGGAGGCGGCGGGCGGTTGTGGTGGGAGGAGAGAAATGGAGTAGGCGGCGTGTGGAGAGAGTGAGAGGGTGGAGAGAAATTGATAGATTAAGGGTTTGAATAGATTTAAGGTTTTAATTTATTAAAATGATAAAAACCTGAAAAATGAAAAAATAAAGTGAAAACCTGATTTTTTAAAAACTCAAACTAAAGGCCTGGTTTTTGGTAATTACCCAAAGTGAAAGGCGTCTTTGGTAATGGAAGTTTACAAGTAAACAGGCCAATCCGGATTGTCCTTAATTTTTGGGCTCAAATTCACAGCCCAATGACAGAAATAGTGAGGTATCCCAAGAATTTAACATGGGCCATTAACTTCGATCAAATTACCTTGATGAAAGGACTTATCAAAGGAGGAGCAAGGCAAGCATTGAATCTCAAAAAGTTTTCGAAGTTTACCATTTTATAATTATCTCAAATATATAAAGAAATAATCACTACAGATATGTCAACAAGAGTAATATGTTTTTGAATTGACATTTTACTATATATTTTTGGAATTTCACGGTTGTCTCCACTGTCTTTAACGTTTTATATTTTTTCTCTGCCAACCAAGCATTAGAATTTTCTGTCTTGATTTACTGGAAAATATTGGAAAAATTTTCACCTGTTCAATTTGAGAAATCCATTATCGCCCACACAAATTTATTCACCATAAACTAGTAA